GCCATCGACATCACTCTACTCTCTCTCTCTCTCTCTCTCTCTCTCTCTGACTCTCAAAGGGCGAGATGGCGGAATCAGAGGGCGTAGATCAGAGGTCCAACGGCGCTCCCGGCGACGGAGGGGGCGGCGTCGCGCGTCCGATCAAGATCGAGTTCGATCCCGTCACTCCTGGCGGCGGCGAGACGCTCTACTCCGTCATCTGCGACTTTGTCGCCGGCGTCGCCTCGCCCCCGCCTCCCTCCCTCCTTCAGCGGCTCAGATCCTCCGCCGCTAAGGCCGCTCCCCGCCTTCGGGAAGCTTCCAGAATCTCCGTCCGCGACCTCCTCCTCTGGACCCGCCGCGGCGGCCCCCTCCGCGCCCTGTTTGTCATCTCGGTGAGTATACTTTGTAGTTTGATTACCTTTGTTAATCTTCAAGCGGATTAAATCGGATTTTTGTTGGTCGTTTTAGGAAATTGGGTCGTTATTGGGTATGTTGGCTTAACAAAGCTACTAAAATCTTTGATGGAAAATATGTTGAATCTACTTAGATATTTCGGCCTTACCGACTATTTCGGAGGATTAGTAGCTACTTTTGTTTCGTTAACCCTTGAAGAAGCATTCATATGAAGGGTAATTATAATTGCAATGTGTCACAGCTTAACTTTAGAATATTAGGCAGGTTATGCGCCTCATCCATTGCTTATCACAGCTTAAACCCTATCGCACGACATCTTGAAGAGTAGTGTACTTGCCATTGTAAATTCCCCTTTTGTAACCCTATTATTATGGAATGTTACTGTAGCTTATGCAAAAGATATCATCTTTCTCACTTTACTTTCTTTGGAATCCATTTTATTTGAAGAAAAACATCCTTATAGCTAGTGCAAAGTTAAATCGTTTTACTAGGTTATCTTTTCTTGCTTTTGGAACAGTTGTGATTCTTGGAAGAGATTGCATCATGTGGCAATGGTTGTTGCTTTAAAAGTTGTAAGATGCGAGCTAATCAGTAGCTAAAAGCAATCATAGAATGGGTTGTGAAGGAATATACCTATAAATTCTCGTTATGTCTCGAGATATTAATGTCATCGAAACATCCTGACGGAGAAGCATAATGAGATATTCCTATTTTGCTTTTTAGGTTCCCCCCGCTATGGTGAAATTGTGGTTTTGTATCACTAAAACAAGCAATTCTTCGTACATAATTCCTTTAACACGTACCTGATAGTCATGCTTGCTTGTCGCATCATGTACCTGCCACAAGCAATTTTTCATACATAATTCCTTTAACATAAACTGGTCATTGAAACTTTTACAACTCTTTACAATGAATGTATATGCAGAATGTTAATCGTTTGCCTTTATTGTTTCCTTAGTCACATATAGGCATCACTTTGTTTGTTTTTTCTCATCCTGTTTGGATACTGCATCTTAAATTAGCATGATTACATATTTTCACATTACAAAGGACCTCTCAAATGTCTGAGTTTATTCTTTTACAAGAAGTGATATGCTTATCATAGACTGTTGGTAGAAGCCTCAGTTATAAGTTCTTTCATGCAGATCAAAAACCACTTATAATTTTCTCTTCTGTATATGGCAGGTTGGAACAATCAGTCTTCTGGCATTGACAGGGTTGCTAAGTTTTATAATTTTCTTGTTCGTGGCAACACTGAATGCTGTCGTTGTCTCGTTACTGATGTCGTTGGCAGCTGCTGGAGGATTTTTAGCAGTTTTCTTTGCCTGCTTAACTGCAATATATATTGGAGCAGTATCGTTTGCGATTTTCATAATCTCCACTGCAACCATCTCAGCAATAATTGCTATCATAATAGCTACTGGTACGTAATAAATTACTTAATATTTTAATCTACTGTCTTACAGTTTAAGGGAGCTATGTATAGATGACAATCTACCTCTAACTTCTGCGATTTATATAGTCTAGCTGAATAGAAAAAGACATGTCGTCCTTTTCTACTAGTAACACTCTGGGAGTAAGTTCTTCATCCTCGAAAAAAAAATGCTCTGATGACCTCTGTTCATGCGGGTCTGTGTTGAGATTTCAGTCTGCTTATGATATACTTTTGTCCAACTTGAATGTATATTATCCTTGTGGGTATTTTTCTCATGACAATCTTCTAGGAGGTGCTTGATAGAAATGAAAACAGAATCTATCAAGATTTTATTTGTAAACAGAATCTACCAAGTTTTTCTTAATCATACAGATTTTTGGTCGGTACCATATAGCATTGGAAATAATTGTTGATCTATTAACATTGATGACCCCAAAAAAATCTTTTTATTGGTTCTATCTGGATTAGATATGTCATTAAATTCTGCCGAGGTAAGAATGGGTGAATTGGTTTAACCCATTTATACGGAGATACAAGTAGTTCATGGTACATTATGCAAACTGATATTTTGCAACTGTTGGAGCACATAGCTAACTTCCATGTGACCAAAGAGAGGTCTCCAAATGGTAATTATCTCAAAAGATGAGGCCTTTTAGATACAGATTTTTTGTCCTTATGATTTCAGTTGGAAGATTTTCTTTCTTTTTTCCTTTTTGAGATTTAATGTAACTTGGTCTGAGCACATTTGCAGGATGGATTGGGTTCTTCTGGATTATTTGGCTTGCTGTTAAGAAAAGTCTGGTCCTCACCAAGCGATCAGTGAGAATGACGAGCTCTGCAATATCGGCATATTCGGTTGCTCGGCAAACAAATCAAAACCCACGGGTTGAATCCAAAGAATGACTGTGGTCACACGTAATCTCCGACTTATTTCTCCTCGGGAGATCGATCTCTTGTGGAGTTTGAACATGTAGCTGTATGCAAAGTGTGAAGTACCAATAAAGACCCTGGTTAAGTTCATCTGCAACATCTCCAGTTAAAAGTGTTGCAGTTACTTGAAGCCTATGTGCATAGTTGCTCTAAAACCAGATCTTTTTCTTGAAAAGAAATGCTTGATCGAGTCTCAGTGACTCAGTTTAGCTAGTGATATTGTCATCAACCAGACACAGACCTCACGGCTTCTTTCATGTTGTATGCTTCAGCTTATCCGAAACTCGTTTCGGAACATCTATCAAGAGCTTTCATCTTTTGTAAAATTTATACTACCAACTTATATATGTTTGTTTCTATGTAAGTTTCATTACGTTGGAATATACTTTTAATTGGAACAGTACTCATATAAACTTGAATTCAGATTCGGATCATTTATTCCTACTACAACATCTATCTATTTGTTGATGCATGCATTATGGAAGATAAATTAAACCTCCATCTAATTCTTAAACCACAGATCTTGCACATATATAACCTAATGGCTAAACCTTAGAAAGATGAAAAACAAGATCAATAACGTAGAATTGATCTAAACAAGAAAACAACACCATATTGCATGTATTAAAATTAAACATCAAATATTAGGTGTGTCATCCCGTTAAAAAGTCAAGATTTTTTTCGATGAAATGGATGATATAATAAAAAGGTGTTTTGAAACTTAAAAAAAAGATCTTAAAAATTAAATTGGTTCGAACGAATAAAAAAGATAGATGATTGAGAAAAAAAAAAAATCAAAGTTAAATAAAGACGATTTTTGGGGAGGAACACAATAAGAAGTGTTCATCTACATTTTGCTTGGATTGGAAGTAAGGCAATGTCATAGTTATAAGAAAGACGCAAGTCTCATAATTTTGCGATGGTTATAAATAGGAAAGTTGTACAAGTCATTTTATACCCATCCATCACACTCTTTCTTTCTATCTCAACTATATAGACAATGCTATATATGGGCGACATGATCCACAAAGGTGGTGTTGCAAATTACATGTTGATGGACATCATAGAAAAGCTTCGGTAATAAAAGTGCAAAATGTGCATGGCAAGAACATTAGAGAATGCATGCAAAAGAATGTTCTATGATAACACCATTGCCTCTTCCATTGATTTTTTTTTCTTTCTCATTGGGCCAAAAAGCTTAATTCCATTTACATCAAATTGTTAACCAAAGCACTGAAATAGCTAATAGAATACGTAATTAGAGTTAGCAAATTTTGTAACATGCCACATTCACTTGTCATTTTTATTTCTGTAAATTTGAGTTTACCATATATGATGCAAAACAAGGATTAACTTTGAGATTAGTGATTCAAATAAAATATATATATAGGGATTAACCAAGCAAACTTGTGCTTCCGTTAACAATGGCAATAATAAGACTAAAACCCATGAATTCTAGCTTTATGGCTTCTACTATGCATGTAAATGTTAATTTAGGTTTTACCTCAATTATTATTTTTATTGGAGGTATACACGTTACGTTCTGCCAACTAAGACACCAATTAAGATGGGATTGGATTAAAGAACGTTAGTATTCAATTATTATGCTCACATCTAAAGATTTGATACAGTTGAATCTTGAATTTTGATGATAAAATCAATTGATAAGTGTTTATGATTTAATCTATGTTTTGAGTAACGCATGATGTTTCGATCAGGGAGAAACAATTAAAGCAAGAAGAATCATGTTGGGTCGGAGGAAAACGTGTCAGAATATTGGACGTCGGGTTGGAGGATTATATAACTAACGTAATTTTTACCATACGAAGGTTTTTCTAATCGACGTTATTTTTACCATTGCACTTATTCACCCACCCCCTCCCCTCTTAGTGCCAACTCGTTCCTAACAGATACATCAATGGCATATTGAGTCTTCTCACCTAATACATTACTATTAAGGATTATATTATGAAGTTTGATTTGGTAATATTAGCATTATCACAATTATTAAGAAATTACTGGTTTTTTAAAAGGAGTGTTGGAATGGGAAGAAGAGATAGGAGAAGAAGAAAGAATATTCGAGAGAGATAAAAGAGAAGAAATAATAATAATAATAATAATAATAATAATAATGATATGATTATTATTGTTTGTTATTCGGCCAAAGCATTATCTAGAAGATATATTTTCTTATTAAGCCGATGATTATGATGATTTTATATAAATAAATAAATATATATATATATAATTTAAAATTAACTAAACACTTATGTACCTTAGATGGTTATGAATTGATCAGAACTTATTCTTTGAAAGGGTCACATTAGATAAACGTTTAGTATAATTTTTGATAAGAAGTTAGATATGAGATATAGATAACTTTTACCATCGAACTAAGTGGGACAAAAAAATATAAGATATGAATATTTCTTATATTTAATAAAAATAATTTTGGTTCAAGCTTTGAATACTTAATGATCTCTTTCTTTTTGGACGTGATCAAACGCAAAAAATAAAAAAGAAAAAGCTCTCATCAGTCAAATTAAATTTGCAATCAAACTTAACCTTATTAAATAACAATTACTTAACTTATAGTTTGATTGATTAAGTTATCGATTTGACTTGTGATCCAATTAACGATTCTGATGAATATTAACTCATTAAATTAAAATGTCATGTATAAGATCATGAAATTATGACGACGACGACGACGACGACAACATCTCATTTATCCCTGTCACTGATTAGATCGATGGTTGAATCAGCCATATAATATGCTTCAATTCAAATATTGAAAAAGATAAAATTTTGAAAGTACTCTTCAATTATATATTTTTTTCCATTTGATGTGCTTTTTTTAAAAAAATTCATCCGTGCCCTCATTTTTATAAGGCAATCAAAAAACTTTTGTCCTCCGCAGTGAATCGAATTATTACCATGTTATAGTATTTTTGGTATATCCTAAAGCACTGTAATTAAATACAAAAATAACTGACTCAAAATTCAATACAAATTAAGTTTCAGAAAGATATTTTTTTATTGATCCATGAATGATAACATGCACAAAAAAAAAGATAAGACTTTTGTATCAATTATAATATTTTTAAAATAACAATATAATGTTTTTATGCCTTATAAAAAATATTATAGTTTCATTAAAAAGACTATAATCTACACAATAGTGGATCGATTCATCTTATAGATTGTTCCAAGGAACTTTGGGAATATAAGGCATTAATTAATGGGAAACAACACGAAGGAGAAACGCCAACGAGAAAAGGCACAAAATAAGAGGTTTTTATGGAATTCACGGTATTATAAATATACAATAAAATTTTATATATTAGCTCTTCTTGTTTTTTCTTTGTTGCAAACACCCTAAACACAAAATTTTATGGTGACTAAAGATTTTATATATTAACTTGAGTTATATATATATATATATATAGTGGTCTCCATGTGAATGTCCGAGTCCAACTCTCATGACAGTAATCATGGCATATGATAATTGAATGTGACGGATCATCTCAGACTGTCTTCCATCTTCTAATGATTATATATATGATTATATATATATATATATATATATATACTCAAATTAACTTAATAGTAGTTAGTAGTATACTTTCTTATTATAAATTAATTTAAATTTTTTTATTTATTTTTAAATGTGAGACTAATTTGATAGGTGTTACAAACTTCTTCCCTAAGTGGGATATTTGGTAGAAACCCAAACATAATTATCAAATCTACTTAGTGGTGTATATAAAGGTCAATTCAGTAGGATTTCACACTATGATGATGCCTCTAGCTATTTGGATAATATTTTTGATTGAACTGTTTATTATGACTAATATTAATAGTTTTGATATTATTTATTATAATTATGCCTATTGAAATAACCAATGTATTTATTATAAGTCAATTCAAATTTTTTCATGCTTGTAAGCCATTAAGATGATTAATCCTAAATTAATAATATATTCTTTCATCAGGTGCTTATAAATTAAATTAAGCTTTGGGTATTATAGTGCTACAAAACTAACACCATTAGCTATTTATTTAGCTATCAAAGAAGCATGGATGAGCACATTAAATTATCCATGTGGCGAAGAAGAAGAGTCTTCTAAAAAGCCGACAATATGAAACTCTACTAGTTATGTTTAAAGGTGCTTTACCACTAATCTATCTCAAAATGATGATGATGTGTTTGTTCTAAAGACCATCTCAACTTGGTTTGGAAGCACAAACTTGTGAACAAAATAGCACAGTAAAATAATGTGTTCTTTTCCTCGTAAAAGCTGAACAAAGATGAAAGCTTGTTGTTGATGAATTGCCTTATTCCCAAAGCTAAAAGCTATGCTGTCACATTCAAAATAATGCCTGAATCCCTCCTCCCTGCATGAAATCAAAGGGCGTTGGCCAATTACTGGCAAGTGACAACAACACAATAGGATTCAGACTATGTTGCAACTGTCAGACAACTATAGCTGCACCTATTGCTCAAAGTAATGTGATAAGATGTATGGGTACAACCTTTAAAAGATACCCTCTATCTATTTATGCAGAAACATTGAACTCTTCGCAACTACTGCTGCTGCTGAACCTTAATTATGAGCAAGTATCCCAGTCTTCCATGCAAGCTACCCCATACCTATCCTACTCTCTCTCTCTCTCTCTCCTCACTTCCTCTCTCTAGCACATGGCCTGTGGTTTCAGCAAGACAATGGATTCCTTCGTTACATGACAAGCCTCTCAATCAATCAATCAATCTATCTATCTATCTATCAATATGCTCATGTTTTGGATTTCCCTCACATGAGTTCAGAACCCAAAGTGTGTGTCAGAAAAAGCAGCTCCTTCCAAAAATTCACACAGACAACTCCTTGCTCTCTTCAGTCTTGCCATGAATGACCTCTTACTGCGAAATGATCTCGAAGAAGCTAATGTTAGTGTCTTAATTCATCCATATATACTTATGACAACAACCTGAGTGAGAGCCATCGACATCAAGAAAGCTATAGTGCCAGGTTGAAACATTAATTGATGGTGGAACAACTCTCGTGTATGTGAGTGTAAGGGCAGGATTGACATTCTCATGGAAGGGAAGTATAAGAGGTCATGGTTTTCCTATGAGCAAAGCAAAAAAGCAAACCATGCATGAGAAAGTATACAGAAAGATACTCTTTCCCCCTTTGTTTTTAAAAGCTGTGTTCTTCGGCTACACAGGAAAGCAGACAAGCTCTACGTAAAGCGCCAAAGAAGCAGTTGTAATCTACCTATAATACGACAAGTAGTGTGGCATTTATGATGAGCTTGAAACTGAGTCAGGCACTCCACTCCATATAACTGCAGATAGTAGTTGGAGACTCGAGGACTGTCATAATAGGAGCAGAAGACGAGGGGGAGGAGGAGGAGGAGGAGGGTGGGGGGGGAGGGGGAAATGGCGATGGGGAACAGCGAGGTGGTGAAGGTGGCGGAGTGTGGGTGCTGCGGCATGTGGGAGGAGTGCACGGTGGAGTATATTGGGCGGGTGAAGGAGCGCTTCGGTGGCGTGTGGGTGTGCGGGCTGTGCGCGGAGGCGATCAAGGATGAGCAGGCCAGGCTGGGGGTGGGCGTCGAGGCGGCGCTGCTGGTGCATGCCAAGTTCAGGCAGACCGCCACCGTCGACCCGTCGGTGCGCATCGCTCGCTCGCTTCTCCAGTTCTTGAAGAAGATGATCTCTTCGCCCGCTGCCTCTCCTGGAAAGCTATGACGTGCATGGCCGTCTCCCTTCGTCTTCTCACTGTAAACTTCAGAGGTAGCTAACTCGTGCAGTACTGACTGCGGTTAGGTGTAGATGTTGCCGCCATGCTTCCAATAAATGGTTGGTGCATTGGCTCTTCAGCGTAACAATTCTGCAACTGGTAAGCCATCTCTTCCTTGCTTGACTTTAGATTACTTCAGGGACCAAGTTTGACAGAGATCAGTTCACGCTATCAATGGCTGGTGACGGAATAGAGAGAGAGAGAGAGAGCAGTGACACTCTGCATGACTGCACGAGAACGATAAGAAATCCAAAAGTATGAATGAGAAGACAGAATAGGCATTATTAACTCATGAACTGCATTTATGTTAAGAACTTAGAGAATAGAGAAATCTTGAAACTTACTAAACATTTGCTGCTTATTTCTTGTTGACCGAGACATGCATAAAGACTATAATCTAAGATCATGATGCAAAAAGGGAATATGATGGATCAGTTCTTGATGGTTACAACATGATCACAAAATGTGAGGACTTGATACAGCTGCTGCATAAACCAACAGACAAAATGTAGATTAAATTTCACGAGTTTGAAGGCCTAGAGTTTTTTTTTTGTCATCACATTCAGAACTGGATTCATCTTGCCTGATAAGGGCATTCCAATGACTTCACTGCTGGGTGATTCTGCAGCAGGTTGCAGATGCAACATAGTCTCTCTCAAACAAGCAATAAGATCAACACAAGATTATCTAAAACTGCAAGTAGGAAATGAAACCTGTTGTGCCTACTAAAATACATAGAACCCAGAGATAATATCTTTAAGCATAGGAGAGTAAATTCTCATATCACACGAATATTAGCTACACATTTGTTTCCTACTTTCGAGTTTCCATTCAGTTACACATTCATTGGTAACTTCTGCTTGAGAAAATAACGAGGTTAAATTTCACAGTAAAAGATACATGCAGGCTGAAGAAGCCACAAAGTCCAATTCTCGCACAAAATAATCAATCCTCCCAAGTTGGAACCAAAGAAGGATAAAACTCGGCGTAAGTAGACAGCACAGATTTGCCAAAATCATGAAAAGATAAATCCAAAACGATGAGAAACAGCAAATCTTCTAATCACAATATGATTATGAACATGAAACAATCTTGTCTCCCATACTTCAAATCAACATTTAGCCATGTTTACAGCCCCAACCCTGCTCCATGGTTAACTCAAGCGTTGTAACCAGGCTGGTTGGGTTGATTTTCGGCCAAGTTGGACACAACTCACTGAAAGTTCACAATAGTTACATACAGATTGCCAAGCAACGATGACACATTATATGAACTAGTAACTCACAAACTAAGGGCTGGAACCCACAAGCGCAAGGAGAAAAGTCCGATAATGGCCTGATGTCTCCGAATGTATTGCATCACGAAGCGGTTTCTTGTATTTCTTATGGTACTCAGCCTTTATGTATTGCATGTCAATCTCACACCTGGTAACTACAACCCTTATAAGTGTCACGTCATTGGTACCTAAACCCTTCATTGCCTTGCGCAAAACCTGATAAAATAAGGAGGTAGATTGACATCATAGTTCAAAAAACAAATACTTGATTTTAACTTGTAAGAGTAGATGCATACTCAATACCGCATTGCTGACTAATCAAGCAATGTAAGACCTCATAAAAAAATTTCAACTAAAGGAATACTAATCCATCTTGACATGAACATTTCATGAGAAGTCATATAAGACAGATTATTCTAGTCAAGAACATCCATGCCAAAACTCTAAGATCAGCATCACCAAGAACATGGCTAATGACCTGGGCACAATCCTGCAGCCCAAGAAGCAAAATCTCTTTTCTTTGTTCGGAGCAGTCTTTGGCTAAGCTAATTCCTAAGATATCATCAAATTGTTGAGTTATTTCAGTCTAAGTGTGGCATTCAGTGTGAGGCTCAAAACAAGTTGTCTGTCATAGTACCTGGAATGGGAGCAGTTTTGTGCCTATAGTCAAAGTTGTCAGACTCTTATCCAGCTTCCAGGGCTTAGTTGCAGAAAAATAGCAAAAGAAACGAAAACCAGGTAAAATGTGGAAATGAAGAAACAGAGACAAGCATTTAAGATTGATCAGATAACTACCTCAAAGTATCTACTCTAAATACAAACCATGAATGTTATACAGCCTCACGTGCAAGAACCCATATATGTAAGCCTTACACTTGATTGGTTGTGAGAGAGTCCTGAGCCCCATCACAAGGGCCCAGCTGTCTGGCCAATCACTTGTGTCAGGCCAGTCATGAGGATTCATGTCAGGCTTCTTAGTTCCACCTAGTCCCAGTATGGTAGAGCAGTTTGATAGAAGACCAGAAATCCATCAGCACTTTTTAGAAATAAATGTTGAAATAAAAATTTACAAAACTAACTTAAGCAGACCTGATGGAGTATGATCCCGATTTTACTTAAGAATACTATGTTGATCAAGCTTTAAAAATAAAAAGAGAAACTGGATCAGAGAAGATGTCGGTGCAACATGGAAGCAGAATTTCCTTCATCAGAACTAAACAGTTTTAGAAAGAATACATAGAAAAGTCAATGTGCACCTTTTGAATATTAAAATTCACTTAATGAACCACGGTTAAGTTCAGAAATAATCCTTAGTATTACCAATCAGCAGTAAAAAGAGGATACATGTATTACTTGAATTTGTTGAAAAATTCAGCTAGTGTTGATTTCTGCAAGTGAAATATGTATTAACAAGTGAAAATATGAAGACTCTCTTATAGCAAACAGCACTGAGAATTATTTGTTTTCAACTGATCTTAGATTTATCACAAAGTTCACTATAGCATTCATTTCTGTCAGTGAAATTTTTAGTAACAAAATAAGAAAATGTGAAGCCTCTGTCCTTTTACCATTAATAGCCTAATGGATAAATTTCCATTTGAAAGAAACATGCATCAACATACTTGAACCACCTGGCTTTCTAAATTGTGCAAGTTTCAATCTAAATATGCTATTCTTTGCAGAGGGAATTGAAGAAATATGTACCTTTGCAAAATACTTGCCAGGATTCTCTGCACACCTTAGAATCGTGACAAGGGCAAGTTCAAAATATCCAGATGTTTCACTCTTCACAGCCTGTAGATTAGCAATACTACTTAAAGAACTAGTATAAACAATGTTGATACAGAAAAGTACACTCCAGACCAGATAATACCTTCTCCAGCTTTTTGCCATAAGTATGATCATAAGAAGAAGCAACAGCTGCCAAATGTGCCCAGCTGCATCCACTGAAAATGCGGATAAAGGTATTCTCATCTGTTCCCAATCTTTTCTCACCAGCTTTGTACAGATCCTTTGCAAGTTTTGAAACCATATTATGATCAACCTCAGGTCCCTCGTGGCGTAATGTGCCAACATATGCCAGCAATAACTGCAGGCAACATACACTTTTGTCACTTAAAAGGAAATCCAAGATACGTTCCCCATTTGTGCATTCCAGAGTAACATTAAATGCATCTTGCATTACTTAGAGAGAAACAATATCAGAAAACTAGAGAAAACTATGCTAGATCACGAGA